TGCCGTTGAAATGGGTTGTAAAGATAATTTTGGGAGGGGTTTGTTGTGAGATAGAATCGTGCGGGAGAATGTCATTGCGGAATAAGACAATATAGAGAGAAATAGAGAAGAGGTGGCATGTAAATATTGTAGGTAATGTCTATTATCCAAGAACATTTTGAATTCATTGTGCTAATACGAATTATATCTGTACTATCTTTGCAATTTTTGGAAGCAAACGCTAGTTTATTTCTGTCGTATATACTTTATATTATTATCAAGCTTTGATTTTAGTAAGAGAATAAAATAATACTCAAATGATGACGGTGGGCAAACTAGCACTGAAGGTTATATTCAGAGCTTTAATCTTTAAGAAGAGTCTTCAGTTTTGCGGATAGCTTACATCTCTTCCCGAAAATTTGTAAGCCATAACTATACAACTAGTCTTTATGCTAGGCTTCAGTTTTCGCAAATCAAGGAGCGAACGGTTGACGACTTTTCAACTGTTTCAGCGTCTTCATTGCTGATGACGTTTCTTAGAAAAGAGGATCACCATAGCATTTATGTACAATATTTAGCGCTTCACTGGTGTCTTCAATTACGTGGCGTACAACATGCGCTAATGGAAAACCAAGTGTATGAATAGTCTCGATAGATGTTTGACAGTATTGGCGGGGAGTATCCAAAGAGCATCATGTCGGTATACAACAGACTTCGATTTACGCGTTCTTACACACTAGTATGGGTATGTTTTACGTACCTTCTTTCTTAGTATGCGTTTGCATGCTGCAAAATTGGCAAACGGGCTTTTGATAGTGAAGATGCTATTAAGCTGAATTTTCGTAAACTCGGGGAAGAACTGTGTCGCATGCCATGGTTCAGTTATTACAAATACTGTACCGTTGACCCAGACGAGCTGGTAAGAATTATATCCCCAGACCACACGCAAATTGGCAGTCAACCACTCAACAAGTCGATGGACTGATTGACCATGCAGTCGTACATATGGATAATCGTGTATATTACGAGCTCTTTGCCGCGAACTCTTGTTACGAAAGCTATTGTTTCCTTCTTTCCCTATCTTTCTCAACAGGTTACTTAATAGATTCCTCCTGGGCTTACAACAATTGATCAACCCGGACGGAGTTTTAACTGAAAAAATACATTGACAACTACTCTGTAGTTGTCAATAAAGATCTTATATTAACAACGTGTTCTCCCATAGCTCAACGCGAATGCTTAAAGTGAAAATGTAAGGTTCAGAACATTAACAACCTCACATAACGTTATTTAGTTGAAAGTAACCTTAAGTCGTAAACTGAATTAACCTTATTAGTATACATTATTAATCAAGCTACATTTGGCCATCTTAGAGGGTTCGATCCAGTATCAACATATTGTGTCTTCATAAAGAATGGCATAAAGAAAATGAGAGTGCCGACCCTTTAAAAGTTTCAGCTACATGGAAGACATTATTGAAGACAAATATAATCAACTATCCGAAGACAGAAATTATAACAATGTAATAGTAATAGACCTTCTGTCAGTTGAGTGTGGTTTAGATTAGTATGTAATGCTTATTTAAAGAAAAGGGTGGCAATATGCTGGTATGCTTGAGGACCAAAAAAATGAACGTGGACAATAAGTTTTTTCCAACTGCATTATGATATGTTAATGGTTAGTATGAGCAGTTTGATCATTGCGAATAATAAATTCATATGCTTCATATAATATAAGAGTGATTATAGTGTTTAATAATTTATGGAAATCATAGTTATGATGTGTATAATTTACGATAAAAAATATAAATTATGCATAGAATATTAATATCTTTAATTCATGGAGTTACACACTACATTTATGCAGTTATACCGTCAGCGAAGCGACAGTCTCAACTGTTATTATAAAGCACTATTGACTATTCCTAGTATAAATCTTGAGAAGCACAGAAGATAGCAACAAAATTCCTCACGTCTCGTTCGAGTCACAAACGTGGTTATTAATATTAACAAATTGAGGATCTCATAGAAATTGATAACAGTGGCCCTTGCCATCATCAAAGGAAAAGTGGCCAAGCGCGTGCGGAGACCGAGCATTTCCATCTTCATCAACCGTCGAGCTGCGCATTCAGTAACCATTTGACATCTACAACCTTATCAAGGCAAGCTATGAAAAAAAAAAGTGTTGCTTTTTTTTTTTTTTTACCCAAAGTTGTGAATAATTATAGACTAGAAATTGTTTGAAATTTATTACGTACGCTCCCAATCGCCGTCGTCAATCATCCCCGGCAGGATGACAGGCGTGAGCTTTTTTCACTTGCGTAAGGAAAAAAAAGTAAACAAAATACGAAAGTATGATCTTATGATTATGTTTAAATCGTTATGTGCTTGTTTATATTTCTTAGCTTGAAAGAAATCGCCGTTCATTGCCAATTCACACCTATTCTCCTGTGACATGTGACTGTTTAACGAAACCTTCATATTCACTAAAGTTAATTAACAGTAAATGCAAAACGTCATGATAAGTATAACGGAATTTTACTTATAAACGTGTATATACTTCAAATAAAAACTTTATTTTTTACGTCATATAAATAAAATCAATCAATACATAGTGAAACTCGATATAACGGAAGGCACGGTTCCTCCGTCAAATCGAAAGATCGATTCAAAAAGTTGATTTATTACTCCAACGTAGTTTACTTCTCAATGCTGTGCTTCTTGTATATAACGAATCTTCCGAGATTATGTAACTCCTTCGTTAACGACTCGCTAATGTCTAAATTACTCTGTTGAACATGTTTCACCACATTATCAAGTCCTATGATTGCATCATTGCTTTTCTCTTCCCTTTTCTTCTGATTGTTTCTCCCCTCCCCATTTACCATTTCTACAATAGCAATATCGTATCAGAGTTAAAGAAATTGGAATATTAATATGCACATGCTAGAGCTTATTTTAACATGTTAAACAGAGCTATTATAAATGAGGAGAAGGAGGTGAGGAGGTGAGGGGATATTCATCATTCCTTATGAAGAAGATAAAAAAAAAGCATTCACATATTCTTGAAGATTTACATAATAATGCAAACTGCAGAATAATATGTTTACTTTATTTTACTTATAACTTTTGTCTCGTAAATATGAGATATGTCGAGTCAACAACCGCGGGGGAGCAATCGATAATCGACTCTAGGAATTTAGCTCATTTCGAGCGGAGCTGTGGCGTCTCCTACTTTTATTAAACGAAAGTGACAGTTGGTGGTCTTTAACAGTAGGCTTTCATACTCACAATCTCGGTGTCGATGCGTAGACACTAATTCTCCATAATTAGCCCGTCCTCGAGTAATCCATGTTCTCTACCGGTGGGATTAATTTTATTCAAAAATCGGTTCAGGAACCGTTCTATGACTCATATATTTTTTAATGGCAAATTCTGCCTGTTGTCCCTCCAATTCCTTTCTATAGCAATACATAAATCGTTGGTCCTTAGTGCATATTTTCGTATTGTCTGTAGAGAAATAGAATCAAATGCAGATGGAAGAGTTTCCTTTAATATTAAACTGTTCCAAGTGTGATCGCAATGTTGTTGTGTATATCGTTTAGCAGCGCCCCAATATTGCTCAATGAAATTTAACTCAAGATGGAATTTGGAATAGAAGATAACTTTGTGGCCCATGCTCTCAATTACCTCTTGGAGTAGCGGTTTGTTAGCTTTGAAATCTTCATGCGCTGCAAGAATATGACGCGCACAATCATCATTCGTTACGATCGTTTTTTTCACATCACGGAATAGTCTAATCTATTATCATTAATAAAAACATTGTCGGTTATGGCATTATACAGGGAATCTGCTGGTTTTCGCAAGCTCACGACAGTGTTGAGTGCGTTTTGTGGGTCTACCCATTATTAAAGAGCGAAAATTTTTCATTTTAGAGATCAAAGTTCATGTGACACGGGATTACATTTTATTAAGGCCCTAAGAAATATACCAGAAAAGGCTGTTTCAAATTTCTGCTCACTATATAAATTAACTAAACTTTGAACGGTTATATCTCAGACCACAAACATAATTTGTTAACATTTATCAAGAAGAAAAAAATGGCATTCTTAAATTTTGAATTATTAATACAGTAATGCTTGTATTATTGTTTGAAATGCATCGATTTTTGTTTTGATGCGTACCTGTGTCCCCCACCATACGGCGTTATAGTGTCATCCTCTGTTGGGTACGGATTTGATGTGGTGTCGACGAGTGATTGACTGTTGTTATCAAATAAGAGATTAGTAAATCCCACTAAAAGATTTCGCGCGTAATCAAACGAGTCATAGGGAGTAGCAAGACGAAACATAAATGTTACGAGTTGTCCGATTTCTAAAGATTGATCCAAGGTATTAACCGTTAGATAAACTGTACAAAGAAATCGATCACCTTCCCTCGTAAAACAATTAGCTGAGAATCTGATAGCTAATACAATTCGGAATTTTAAATACACTGTAATTTGCAATGTCTTCTTTTCCTCGTATGAGTTTACTATACCAATCAATCGAACTACGGGTTTGAGTTGCTTTGATGCTATTGAGAGTTGCGGATGGTCTTTTATGGAGGTTTGACTCTACTGCAATAATCACATGGGAAATTTGCTTCGAGTGCGAGAAATTCGCTGATTGGTTGAAAGCCGAAGCTCGCGAGGAGTGAGAGTTTAAAGAGCAGTTTTGCAAAAGCAGGAAAATAGTCAAGAGTTAGCAATTGCCTCGCAAGAGAAAAAGGCATAAGTAAAACATTTGCGAGTAGGGGTGAAGTTGGATTTGAAAGAATGGGGAGCTTTTCGTCGGGTGGGTAATTTTTATTTGTGGGAAGAATTAAAAGAAGCAGGGCATACGGAACAGAGTAAAAACTGCAATAATCCGTTATTTTAGGGGTTGGCTGTGAGTGAAAAATTATTGTGTTTAGCTTGTGTCAAAAGTAAGCATTACGAAGTAATAAGTAGGGATAGGAAGAAAGTATTGAACAAAAAGTTGACTACAACAAAGCATTAATATTAACATCACCAAATCTGCTGCCATCTCCACCATCACCAGTGCCGGGGTCAGGCTGTCTATTACCAAGCTCTACACGCTGCAATTTCGCTACCCATGATACTTTTTCTTTTGCGATTTTTAGAAATAAAGAGAGAAATTTCAAAAGAGTGCGAACGTCGAAAAGATTTCCTAAAGATAATCAGGAATTATTCCGACACGTAATTTTCGGATGACGATATTTTTATATTTAATAGACTTGGCGGACCCTTGTAATGAAAGGATTACTAACGACGAAAGTTAATTAGCGATTATATAATAATTAGCATAACATATACAGTCATACCTCTTTTGTATCCCCACCCTTAATATCCCAACCTCAGATATATTCCACCGATGGATTTCCTCTATTGTATTTTACCTCATTTGTGCCCCCTTTAGATATCTATCTCCCAATATTGCTGACCCAAATTTCCATATCATATAGTGATATATTAATATCATACTATAATAATAAGCGACACTAATACTAATATTACACAAGTCATATATTTACTATATTAATACAGTAATATATGATACAAATACTAGTATTACAATAATTTCTATTTTACGTTCTGCACTTGATATCGATATAGTTAAAAAGTTCTTGGAACAAAGAGATTTTACAACAGAAAATGATGTAGAATGTATACGCAATATAATTCGACGCTTAGATGAGTCCGTAGAAAAGGCTAAACGCCCAAACTTCGTGATTTAAATGAATGGTTTATGCTACCTCATTTGCATCCCAAAGTGGGATATAAACGAAGTATGACTGTACCTAATAATTACAAATTCACAACGGAGATTTCTACAACAAAACACCTATACGAAACCCAATTTTATAGACGTATTACGTAGTAGTATTCAAGTTCTGTATTCTATCAGTCTATTAACAAAGAATGTTAGCGCGCATGTTTAATCCTTCGACATAGAACGTCCAATCAATACAACAGTAACATCGCAAGCGAGGACAATCTTAAGCTTTATATTAGCACGAAGAATCTCATCACGTGTGAAGCACTATTTATTTGAGATTGTTACACCAGATACTGCGTATTTTTCCTTGCGAAATCGGACTTCATAATATTATTATTATTCCAAAAACTTCAACGACTTGCTATACATTGGGTAAATTTAGTAACACTGTTTCTACGCTGAAAATATTTTCACTATTTAGTACTTATACGTGTTCTACTAGAATGAAAAAAGAGGATCAATTTGAGTTATATCACAGAACGGCCGAACAAGGACATGCCAGTGCTCAATATAATCTTGCTTTATGTTATGATAATGGAACTGGAGTAGAAAAAGATGATCAAAAAGCAGTTGAATGGTATAGAAAAGCAGCTGAACAAGGAGTTGCCATTGCTCAATTTAATCTTGCTTTATGTTATGATAATGGAACTGGAGTAGAAAAAGATGATCAAAAAGCAGTTGAATGGTATAGAAAAGCAGCTGAACAAGGACATGCCA